AGATCTGAGGGAAGATGTTATTATATGCAGTAGACACAAGTAGATCTGAGGGAAGATGTTATTATATGCAGTAGACACAAGTAGATCTGAGGGAAGATGTTATTATGCAGCAAACACAAGTAGATCTGAGAGAAGATGTTATTATATGCAGTAGACACAAGTAGATCTGAGGGAAGGTGTTATTATATGCAGCAAACACAAGTAGATCCGAGGGAAGATGTTATTATATGCAGTAGACACAAGTAGATCTGAGGGAAGATGTTATTATATGCAGCAGTTACAAGTAGATCTGACAGAAGATGTTATATGCATCAAACACAAGTAGATCTGAGAGAAGATGTTATTATATGCAGTAGACACAAGTAGATCTGACAGAATATGTTATATGCAGCAAACACAAGTAGATCTGAGAGAAGATGTTATTATATGCAGTAGACACAAGTAGATCTGACAGAAGATGTTATATGCATCAAACATAAATAGATCTGAGAGATATTATTATATGCAGCAGTTACAAGTAGATCTGACAGAAGATGTTATATGCAGCAAACACAAGTAGATCTGAGAGAAGATGTTATTATAGGCAGTTATACGAGTTACGTCTTATACACATAAGATTATTTTATAAAACTGTAAATTTAGGCATTTGTGTTCTAAATGAACCACGTTTATAAATGTTGATCCACTTAAGTTCACCGATGATCCATCTTTAAAAACATAATTCAGTTGGTGTAATTGAAACATTTCTTAAAAAAAAGGGGAAATACACAAATTTAACAGATAAATGAACTTGTATCTCATATTATATTTTGTGCCGAAGAGATGTTTCCAATAATAATGTTTTCGTTAAGACGTTTTGACGTGTTTTGATCAATCCCAGACGATCAAGTTTTTAAAGAGTAAAGGTATTCAAAAATTAAATGTTGATCTGTCACTTGTATGACTGACGTCATGCTGACGTGTATGTTCTTATATCAAATATTACCCGAAGTTCTTCTAGCGCGTGTAAATTATGAAAA